TGACTTTTTCGATGATGTCGGCTATGGAAAACTTTGAAGTTTTGGGGGCATTTTGTAAAAAATCTTAAATTTGTCTTTTCTCACTAGATACTGAATGTAATGAGTTGAACTCTTCAGGGAATTCAATTCAGGCCTCTAGGCACCTCGTATGAACTTTTCAGGAAATTTGGTGAAGTTGTATTTTAGGGTCAAAAACTGACTTTTTCGATGATGCCGGCTATGGAAAACTTTGAAATTTTGGGGGCATTTTGTAAAAAATCTAAAATTTGTCTATTCTCACTGGATACTGAATGTAATGAGTTGAAGTCTGCAGGGAATTCAATTCTGGCCTCTAGGCACCTCGTATGAACTTTTCAGGAAATTTGGTGAAGTTGTATTTTTGGGTCAAAAACTGACTTTTTCGATGATGTCGGCTATGGAAAACTTTGAAGTTTTGGGGGCATTTTGTAAAAAATCTTAAATTTGTCTTTTCTCACTAGATACTGAATGTAATGAGTTGAACTCTTCAGGGAATTCAATTCAGGCCTCTAGGCACCTCGTATGAACTTTTCAGGAAATTTGGTGAAGTTGTATTTTAGGGTCAAAAACTGACTTTTTTCGATGATGCCGGGGGCATTTTGTAAAAAATCTAAAATTTGTCTTTTCTGACTGGATACTGAATGTAATGATTTGAACTATTCAGGGAATTCAATTCTGGCCTCTAGGCACCTCGTATGAACTTTTGAGCAAATTTGGTGAATTTGTATTTTTGGGTCAAAAACTGACTTTTTCGATGAAACTGGCTATGGAAAACGTTGAAGTTTTGTGGGCATTTTGTAAATAAATCTTAATTTTTTCTTTTCTCACTGGAGACTGAATGTAATGAGTTGAACTCTTAAGGGAATTCAATTCTGGCCTCTAGGCACCTCGTATGAACTTTTGAGGAAATTTGGTGAAGTTGTATTTTTGGGTCAAAAACTGACTTTTTCGATGAAACTGGCTATGGAAAAACGTTGAAGTTTTGGGGGCATTTTGTAAAAAATCTAAATTTTTTCTTTTCTCACCGGATACTGAATGTAATGAGTTGAATGAACTCTTCAGGAAATTCAATGCTTGGCCCCTAGGCACCTCGTGTGAACTTTTGAGCAAATTTGATCATCTTTTATTTTTGGGTCAAAACTGACTTTTTCGATGAAACTGGCTATGGAAAAACGTTGAAGTTTTGGGGGCATTTCGTAAAAAATCTAAAATTTGTCTTTTCTCTCTGGATACTGAATGTAATGAGTTGAACTCTTCAGGGAATTCAGTCCTGGCCTCTAGGCACCTGGTTGTAAAATGTTGAGCAAATTTGATCAACTTTTATTTTTGTGTCAAAAACTGACTTTTTTGATGATGCCGGCTATGGGAAAACGTTGAAGTTTTGGGGACATTTTGTAAAAAATCTAAAAAAATGTCTTTTCTTACTGGATACTGAATGTAATGAGTTGAACTCTTCAGGGAATTCAATTCTGGCCTCTAGGCACCTCGTATGAACTTTTGAGGAAATTTGGTGAAGTTGTATTTTTGGGTCAAAAACTGACTTTTTCGATGATGCCGGCTATGCAAAACGTTGAAGTTTTGGGGGCATTTTGTAAAAAATCTAAAATTTGTCATTTCTCCCTGGATACTGAATGTAATGAGTTGAACTCTTCAGGGAATTCAATTCTGGCCTCTAGGCACCTCGTATGAACTTTTGAGAAAATTTGGTGAAGTTGTATTTTTGGGTCAAAAACTGACTTTTTCGATGATGCCTGCTATGGAAAATGTTGAAGTTTTGGGGGGCATTTTGTAAAAAATCTCAAAATTTTCTTTTCTCACCGCATACTGAATGTAATGAGTTGAACTCTTCAGGGAATTCAATTCTGGCCTCTTGGCACCTCGTATGAACTTTTGAGCAAATTTGTGCAACTTTTATTTTTGGGTCAAAAACTGACTTTTTCGATGATTTCGGCTATGGAAAATGTTGAAGTTTTGGGGTCATTTTGTTAAAAACTAAAAGTTTTCTTTTCTCACTGGATACTGAATGTGATGAGTTGAACTCTTCAGGGAATTCCATTCTGGCCTCTAGGCACCTCGTAAGAACTTTTGGGCAAATTTGATAAACTGGTATTTTTGGGTCAAAACTGACTTTTTCGATGATGCCGGCTATGGAAAACGTTGAAGTTTTGGGGGCATTTTGTAAAAAATCTAATTTTTTTTCTTTTTTCTTACTGCATACTGAATGTAATGAGTTGAACTCTTCAGGGAATTCAATGCTGGCTTCTAGGCACCTTGTGTGAACGTTTCAGCAATTTGGGGAAGTTGGATTTTTTGCTCAAAACTGACTTTTTTGATGATGCCGGCTATGGAAAATGTTGAAGTTTTGGGGGCATTTTGTAAAAAATCAACAAGTTTTCTTTTCTCACTGGATACTGAATGTAATGAGTTGAACTCCTTAGGGAATTCATTTCTGGCCTCTAGGCAGCTCGTTTTAACTTTTGAGCAAATTTGTTAAAAAAGGATTTTTGGGTCAAAGAACGCAGATATCCTGAGCTTTTCTAGTGTAAATTTCTGGCATATGCACTCTCCGATGCATAATGATTTCATTTATAAAACTGAAGCCAGTCGGGCCAAAATTGGCCGACGGCGATGGCATGCGCGCGCAAGCACGAACTCAACGTTGACGTCATAATGAGCAGCGCTGTTCACCTAATTTGCATATAAAGATTTTCGCGATAAGTTTGTACGTGTGTAGTGTAGTGCTCTGAAACTAAAGACGTGCAAAACGAAATCAGGCCAACCATGGAGGTCTGTTCCTTCCTCCATGGGCCAACTTTACTCACTCCTTATTAACCAGCAAATTTCTCCAATCATTCCATTGGGCAAAAAAGGTCCTCAGTATTTCACCAACCAAGTTTGCAAACTCAATTCAAAGGACATTTCTTGAATATTTTGCACATGAGAGGGAAGTCAAGTGATTTCAAAATGGTGCTAAATACTAGACTGGTACATGTCCAACCACGGTCCAACTATTTGAAAAGAATGACCTCTTCATTCAGTGTTATTAGTCTGGTGGCTGGCTATGGAGAAATGTGTAGTAAATAAAATAGAGACTGAGTTGAGTTCCCGGTTCATGCCACATGTTTCTTTACTTCTAGAATTAGAACTAGAACTTAGAAGGCACCTCTCGTTAGCATTCTTTTCTAGCATTGTGATTTTTGGGGGGGTCAGTACGCTATGGCTTTTGGAAATGCACTTTGATAGACGTAATACCTTTGGAATTCCAATTTCTGAACACAAATCCACCCAAACAGTTGCCCTGGTTGATCCATAACTCTCAAATGTTCTGGAACAATTGACATTTGGATCATGGGACAAGTTTTGGGGTGGAAAATCAGACTTTTTACTCACCACCATCAGTTTTTTTGACATTGTGAACGTTGAGCACCATAGACATATAATAAAACCTAGACACGACATTATCTGCTTTTACGTTGTAAATTCTGTGAGCAAAACGGGCTGCACCACGCGGCTTAATTACGCAATGCGCGAATGTCATGCATATGGCTTCGATTTACGCGCATACTTCTTAGTTATTCTATACACGCAGCATTTTGCTCATAGGCGCAATAGCAAATGTCGTGTCTAGGTTTTATTATATGTCTGTGTTGAGCACACACTCGATGCAAACCTAGCTGCATGGAGTAATTTAGTCTGGTTTCCTGACCAAAACTCGAATCACATTCCTTTAACTTATGGCCACATCATATGCAGGACAAAAAATCAAAATGTAGGTCTGATACCCTTCGCGTGTGTACGTTAAAGAAATGGACTAGGCCTATTTCATTCAGTTGTAAATTGTAGTTTAGGCCTACTGTAGCTGGCGTAGGTAGGTGCACATGATTTCATCTGTTCATCATTCTTCTTCTTTCGTGTCCTTGTGCTTTGTGGTCCGCCACTGCTGTACACATCATTGTGGCCCCAAATTTGTGCATTGTCACCTTAGACCGTCCGTTCATTATCACAGTTACTTGACTTTTACAACTAACAAAAGTAACAGTAAAAACATACATTATCTATACTATTTCAGGACCCAAATAATCTCTGCCACACATCACTTTTTTCTGTGCTTTGCAGAATCTACGAGGAGCCAGATTTTCCAAGAATCTTGTTACAAAATTTGACACTCGGAATGATGTTTGTTAGTCCCAGAATCATTTTTCTCCTGACATACTACTTACTATAGGCATATGGCTGACGATCATTAGCCCTAATCTGGCTCACACTGTACATGTACATGTTCTAGGCTAGTAGTATTAAAGCTGTAGTGTGCAATTTGGGTGGCATGGGTGGCTTGTGCGTAAAGCGCTCGCCTCTCACCAAGGTGACCTCGGTTCGAATCCCGGCCGCGGGACACATGTGAGTAGAGTTGTGCGTTGGTTCCCTCCTGTGCCACGAGGGTTTTTCTCCGGGCCCTCCTGTTTTCCTCCCTCCGGAAAAATCAAACACTTTCGATCTCAGGCTGTGCTCCGTGGTCATATATGGGTCGATGTGGCCGGCAGCCATAGGCGCCTTTACGTGCCAGCGGCCCGACCACGTTGTAGCTGCGTCCTTCTCAATTCAGCATACCAGCTGCGAGTAAGGATGATTAGCCTCCCAAATTATTATTATTATTATTATTATTACTTGACCCCAGATGAACTCTTAGAGGGTTAGGCAGGTTTAAAGCATGTTAGGTAGTATCACCCAAGTGATATTCGGGAAATTGCATGGTTCTTGAGACAAGCAACTTAGAAAGGAATTTTGGTTGTAATGGACAAAACCTTTCAAGCAAATAAAAGGATGTTTTCAATGTATCCAATCACGGTAACCCTAGGCCTTGCACCCAAAATCTGCTAAAAAGTAACATGAACAGGGTCAATTTTATTTTTTGATCCTGTTGAGTAGATAAATCATGCTAAATATAGGCAAAAGTAAGATATTGTATAAATAAAGCTCACTTTAATTGATTTGTTTGTTTTGTACACAGAGTCACACAGTATGCATCGAGGTTTCTGTTGTGGTACTATACGACGTATGGAGGCCCAAAGAATACTGTACAGAGAGTCCAAAACTTGGAAAGTGCTGTTACTACATCCAGAAAGTGTAAGTGCTTTGGTACATACGGGACTGTCAGACTCAGAACCCAGCCCTATATATATTCCTCTACTTCGGGCTGTTTGTCATTAGAAGTTGCTGTTGTATTTTCGTCGGTTGTTGGATTTAGGTGCATAAAGGGATCCCCAGCAAAGTGCCACTAACCCTAACCGCCCTGAATCCTCCAAAATCCTTTTTGCAAATTGGAGGAATTTGCAGGATTGAGGTTACATGGCCAAAGTGCGTTGCTGATTTCGGAGTACGCACTGTTTCAAGGTCTTGGGCCGGACCTTGTGTTGTTTATGCTCAGCCGTGCATAAATTTAGTCCTTGATTATACTTGACATTCTCTGCACTGCTCCAGGATGTCACTGCCTCTGCCTCAGCCTATTGACAGTCATAGCCGGAGGATTTTGCTGGATTCAGGCAGTGGTCACCCCTCCATGGACCATATTCAAGAAACAACGGAGGAATTTGCAGGATTGAGGCTATATGCTATTTTTCCATGAGGCCAATTGGAGGATTTTGCAGGATTGAGGCTACATCCTAGCAAAAAGGCCCAGGGAGTTAGGGCCAAGTTATAGATGTAGAAGGGTTAACAGTGTTCCCAGTGGTTTCAAGTCAACTCGGTCCCAAACCAACTCGATCCGAGTCAACTCAGTCTCAGGTCAATTGGTCCCAGGTCAACTCGGTCCCAAGTCAACTCAGTCCTAAGTCAACTTGGTCGTAGGTCAACTCTTTCCCTTGTGGGTATCACTGTCAATTCCCTGAGTTTTGCCAGACTGGAAAAATGGAAAGTTATTTTCAAGGTTTCCCCAACTTCAGGAGTGGCTTGGAAGTTTAAATCCCTAGTGCCTGGTGGGCATTCATTTACAGCTGATTGTTTCATGTATATGCAGTTAAAATAACATATGTTTAAAGAAAATCGGCAATCTTCATCTATTTGTTGAAGCTGTTCATATGTGTCGGCATTGCTTTATCAGTATTTTTTAATGATATTCTGTACCATTTACTTTGGGTTTTTTTTTTGTGTGTTTCTTTAAACAGTATACATGTAAGTAATCCTTCGCATTCACTTATGTTTCAGTGTTTCGAATGTTCCGCTCTGCTGAGTTTGCCCAGAAAGCGTTGGACATGTTGGCCCTGACCGACGACATTCAACGAACGCTGACTGTGATTGGTTACTCTGGCAAAGCTCTCTGGTTGCTGGTGGATCATATCATATGGTTTGGCAGGACCAAGATATATGATGTAAGCAAAAGAACAAAGTCATTCTTTCCCCAGCCACCGTAGACTGTTTCTTCCTTGTTATAACTATAACTATAACTATAACTTACAACATTTATAATGCGCTTTCCACCATGTTTCAAAGCGCACAGTAGTTTCTTGTACAATTATCAATTTACTGATCAAAGGCTTGTGAAAAAAGAAAGCTCTTAAGTTCTGTCTTAAACGAGTCCAAAGAATCAGTTTCACGGATGTGGATGGGAAGAGAGGTCCAGAGTTTCGGGGCTAGCACAGAGAAGGCACGGTTGCCATAGCGGGTTTTGGTTTTAGGTCCAGGCAGTAACTGAAGATGGGCTGTAGAATGTGATCGGAGGTGGCGGGATGTAGATGAAATGGCTGTGGACCGGGTAGATATGAGCTTCTGGAGGTATGATGGGGCAAGGTTGTGAATGATTTTGAAAACAAGGAGAAGTGTTTTGAAGATGATGCGTTCGTGAACCGGAAGCCAATGAAGAGACCGAAGGACTGGTGTAATGTGTTCATGTTTCTTAGTCCGAGTGACCATTCTGGCAGCGGAGTTTTGAATACGTTGTAATGGAGCGATGTTTGACTTGTTGTCCACATTCAACTCTTACACCTGCTCGTTTAAAAACATAGATGTGCCATTTAGCTTGTCGGAGGATCAAACATGCACGTGTGCAGAGCCACGGTCGAACGTCTTATATATCCTGACATGCAGGCCAAATTTTATGCAACCCTGCGCGCCAGCCATTTGGAGTCGACTGTAGAAACTGTGATGTCATTTCGATTAGAATGTGGATTAACCTGTTGACTGGTCAATTTGGATGCCACATTTTTGTAATACAACAACAGGTTACCAAAGACTCGATAAAAGGCGCCCGCTGAACGGTCAGAATCTTGAGGTCAAGACGCGGTCTTGTTTTACATAATTAATCGCCGAATCTGCTCACATATCATAGACCCTTGCTGTGCTCAGGGATATTCCATAGACTGCCATTTAGCAGGGTAATGTTGAAATCTTCCCAAGTCATTGGTCAGGTCGCAATTAAAAAGTTTGAAAAGAAAGTTCCATTCTGTTTTTCCCTGATACCAAACATTGTCGGTGTGATTCTTCGCCTTACAAGATCACATGGTAGATCCGATGACCTTTCATTTAAATCTGCTATTTGGCAATGCTCCTCTGCTAGGTTCTATAATCAGGTGTCATTTTGTCTTTTTACAGCAGACACAATATATGTACACAATTTAGATTCTTCTGTTGTCACATTAAATGTCCCTGTTTGAACTGTCAGGTTGACACCAAGAAGTGGGGTCAGAGGTCAGCGTGGTGTTGGCTGATAGCTTTGTTGTCACTGACCCTGAATGACCTCCGCAAGATCCAGTTGTTGACCCGTCGAGCCGAGGATATGAAGCTAGCGGGAACAATCAACTCCGCCCAGGGAGCTGAGCTGAGGCGCGAACTGCGCAAGGCCTACCTACAACTGGTTATCAACCTCAGCGATGTTTGGATACCGCTGTCGGTGCTCCAGTATGTCAGTAAAGGGGTCGGTGCCATGGGTGGGGTTATAGCCTCGCTCACCGCGATACATGTCGTGTGGAACAAAAATGTCCACGGAAAATGATGACAGAAAGACGTAAAGGTGATATACAACATTTGCTTTTGCTGTAATTTTCAGAAATGGATGGATTTGGGGGTTCGTATTTTATAGCAAATACTGTTACACTGACCCGCTTAAAGTTTTGTGTTCATAGCTGCTGAAAAAAACAACAAGAAATAAAATGCTGTTCTTGTAATCTGGTTCCCTGACCCTACTTCAGATGTGGAGCAATTTATTTTACTACGGAGTAATTTATGGACAGCGGGGAATTGTCAGGTCAGGGAACCAGACTAGCTGGCTTGCACCCATTCACGGATGTGTAACCGATTGCGAAGAACATTTTGACTAACTAAATTTGGTAGATTTGGGGCGGTATTTGAAGAAGAAAAAACGAGGTTTTTTTCCATCGATGGTCGGCCGACCATCGTTGCAAATTGATACAAAAATTCCACTTTTCTTGAAAACGACAGCACACCAGGTGCCATGATTTCACAGAATGCTTGATACTATTATTCACTTACAGTCCAGTAAGGTATTTCATAATAATTTGGTAGTTGTTTTTTGATGTTTGCAAATGTTGTATATTACCTTTAAAAAGAATTTCCAGTTTTGGTATTCAATGCAGGAATGTTACCAGGGTTGCGTTTGGTGCCAGTGTTGTCACTTTTCAGACGGGTTGTAACAACTCCTTGATGCAAACATTTATTTTTAATTTTACAAAAATAGCTAGTGTGTGCTGCACAGTAACAAAACGCTCGTTTCCCAATGCGAGTTTTCATTATTTTCATATATTAGACAAAAACAGCTCAAGGTCTAGACAAAACATCCTTTTTAACACTAAAAAGGTTACAAAAAAAGAAACTCTGTAGAAAATATTAAAAGAACGTACATCACTCCGTATTTTAGTTTTGATATTCTTTAATTGCTGTCATTAGCTATCAAAATTAATGTTTGCTTGAAACCACCGTAATAAAACAAATCATTCCTGCACTTTTTATGGAAAAAAAATTGTGTACTATTTTTATTTTATGAAAAAAAATATTAATCTGAAATATTTTGCCCAAATTGCAATAGATATATTTATATTGAATTGTTTTAAGATGTGAAGATGTTTTACCACTTTTTTTTTCTCGAGTTTAGCTGATTAGCTGTTTTTTTTTCCGGTAATTTGAAAATCTTATTTTAATAACATCTCACTTTAATACAACCTTTAGAGTGTTGTACTAGGTCATAACTTCTTTTTTATAATCTAGTGAGGGTTTGCGGTGACACCATGTGGAACCATCTCTTTTGAAAAGAAGTGTGGTTCTGAAAAGAATCGGTTGGTTGTGAAACTCGACGTTCCGATCAGTATGCTCAGTATCATCTTCAAGATACAGCCTGATTTCAAATCTTAGTTTTTCGGATAGAACTACATCTATCAGTGCTAATTATATCCTTCCTAAATAAGAACCTTCAAAAATGCTTGGAATGACAGCCACATTAAGCCGCACTTAAATGTCTATCAACGCCTTGATTTTTCTAAGTCTTTTTTTTTTTAAATAAAAGATGTTTGAATACCTTTCTATCTTTACATTTCATGTGTACAAATAATTTATTTACAATTTACAATGTAAATTACAAAATACCTTTTTTATGCTTGTTTTGTTTTGATAAATTCCCATGGATTTTTTTATGAATAAAATTTCCTAATCTATTTAAATCTGCGCTGTGTTAGAGCTTTGATTTCTCCATCTCTGTCTCGGATTTTTTTCTTTCTTTGATGTCAGTTTCCCAGTCGTAGGCTTTGAATCCTTCATGATCTGAAAAGAAAAACATGGAAACCAAATAAAATGGAAATATTGTTCTCAAAAAGCCACCCTGAAAACAAAAAAATACATCAAGTTGCTGATAGTCCCTGTACTGTCCCAAACTGCCCTGCCTGTTACTCCCAGTACTGCCTCAAACTCAAACCACCCTGCCTGTTACTCTGTGGCCTACCCAAAACCACCCTGCGTTACTCCCTGGCCTGCCCGTAACCACCCTGCCTGTTACTCGTAGTACTACCCCAAACTGCCCTGCCTGTTACTCCCAGTACTGCCTCAAACTGCTCTGCCTTTTACTCCCTAGCTTGCCCAAAACCGCCCTGGGTGTTACTCCCTGGCCTGCCCAAAACCACCCTGCCTATTACTCCCTGGCCTACCCAAAACCACCCTGCCTGTTACTCCCTGGCCTACCCAAAACCGCCCTGCCTGTTACTCCCTAGCCTACCCAAAACCACCCTGCGTTACTCCCTGGCCTGCCCGTAACCACCCTGCCTGTTACTTGTACTACTACCCCAAACCGCCCTGCCTGTTACTCCCTAGCCTGCCCAAACCCACCCTGCCTGTTACTCCCTGGCCTGCCCAAAACCGCCCCCGTACTGTATGGTTTATGGATTCATCTGGAAATAAAAACAATGTTGTGTATGAACAGTCCCCAATGACCAATCGGATCACAACTTTTGGTCAGCTGGTGAAGGGCAAAAACCTAATATTGATTTACATCGCCCCAACGCAAATTCATCTTATGAATAAACTGACCACATAGCTCAGTGAAACTTGGTCGCGAGCACCGTGAGAAAAGTACACACACACACAGATGGGCGGTGCTGTGTACACACACACACAGATGGGCGGTGCTTTTGGCGAAATCTGGAATGTTCCATTTTCTTACCTGGCACAGAGAAGCCAGGGAAGCCATGCAGGCTGGAGCCCCCATCGACTTTCAGGGTTTCACCCGTGATGTAGGCAGCTGCGGGCGATAAGAGAAAGCAGACAGCAGCCGAAATCTACAAATCAGAATGAAAACAAAAGAGAGGCGTTTGCGTGGCAGATTGACTTTGTTAGAAAACACATAATTACACAGGGTAAAATAATTCAAGTGTTTAAAATACTTCTTAGTTTATTAAAGAAAATTGCAACCGTCCTTTTCAACACAACTGTTGAGCAGTGACTGTTGTAAACGTTTGCAATCAGCAGGTGCCCTGTGTTAAAAGAAAAGATAAAAAATGCTAACATTTTTGGACTTGTGAATTGACAAGCCTTGTATGCGTGTTTACTTCCATGTGATTGAACTACTCTTTTTCAAACCTTTCTCAATCCATAAACAATGGTTGCTCTGATGGTGTAATAATATAAAATGGGCTGGTTTGCTTCTGTGAAATTGTTGAATAATTTGAGGGCAACTTTCTTCTGTGATCGTTGTTGCTAACAACCCCATCATCGGCAAAGGGATGATTGGAAAATGAATATTTTAGAAGATGCGAGTTTTTCTCAAACGACAGCATGCCAGACGGGACATGTGTTTGGTATTGTGAGACTTTTGCTAATAATGGGTTCGTTTTTGGATCTCTTCACATAATATGCGAGGGCATTCTGGCAAAATGAGACAGAACTGGGCAGAGGTTGAAACAGGGATTTGTGGGTATGAGGAAAGAGAATCAAATTCTCCTTACAGTATTGTTTGTTGCACTTCAATCGGACATTCCGTGTTGTTGTACTCGTACTCGGTACTCGAGTACTTTTTTTTAGTACTCGTACTCGTACTCGAATGTCAAAGTACTCGCACTCGAAATGACGGTACTCATACTCGGGCAGCAAAGTACTCGTACTCGACATGTCAAAATTGTACTCCATCATCAAAGTACTCGTACTCGAATAGCAGTACTCGGGGGGGGGGGGGGGAATTGTATAGCTTGACCTACCATGGCCTTATTTTATCGATACTTTCAGTTTGATATGGTCGATTGGCTTATGGAGAAATCAAAGTTTTCCTGATTTTACTGAGAAAAAACCTTTAACGCTCGAGTTTTGAAGTTGCGACAATGGAAAGTGCCAATTTTGGTTTCTCCTTAAATACATTTTTATTTTATAACTACAATGTTTCTTTACAATATGTGTAGTAGACATATCAAACATTAGAAAAATCAATACAAAAAATTCATCACTATTAATTTTTCTCCACTTTAGCGTGTGCCCAATTCCGTCTCATTTTGCCTGAATGCCTCATATATTGTTGTGAGCCTTCAAATGTTTTTACTTCTAGAAGAGTGAGACAGGTTGATACCCAAGTAACCCCCCCCCCTCCAAGCAGTTGCTTTTGCCACGCCTACCCACCTCTTCAACTTTGCCAAGTCTCTTAGCCGGAACATTTGGGATCGCTCTGCTGAAAGTCTCAGGATCTGCGTAGTTAGCTGCAGCTGAGTCCGAGTAGATGGTACCCTGGTTTGGAAAAGATAGAAATGTGAATTCCTTTGCACCGCAAAGATATTGACACTCATGGCGAATTGAAGGAAGGCTGAATGCATGGGACACACCTACAACAAATATATACCATCTCTTTTTTTTTGGTCGTAAATCTTAAAACAAAAAAATAGTTCTGCTAGAATTGTGTGCCGGAAGATGTCAATTTTATTATTTTTTCCCTCCATTGTTTTACTCGGTGCTGTTGAAGAGCGTGTCCAACAATATAACCACAATCATGCCCGGGGGGACTCAAACCCATAACAACAGTCCAGACTTTATGGGTACACTCGAGGGTCTGTGTACAAGTACCCGATCAACGGTTACAAAGGGAGAGTTGAGGGAATCCTCTGTGGGGAGTGTGGCCTAGTGGTTAGGGGTCATGACTCATGATCAGAGGTTCAGGGGTTCGAATCCAGCTACTGCTCATATGTTGTGTCCTTGGGCAAGCCACTCCACCCCCACTTGCCTCTCTCCACCCAGGATTATAAATGGGTACCGGCATTAGATGGTGAGTAACCTGCGATGGACTGGCATCCCATCCAGTAGGAGTAGAAATATTCTCAGTCGTTTCGTGCTACTGAAACTGGAGAGAAATGCCGGCCTTATAGGCCACATTGGCTCGTGACAGACTTTACTTACATAATCTGGGAGGGAGATTGGAACACATTGCCGACGACTGGCGCTCATGCAATGGCTTTGTGCACATCCAAACTATACTTAGTCGTGCGCACTTTACGCACGTGAACCAATACGCGCATGCTGCGTGTTCTGTCCCTGGAGTTCTTCGTGCACAAAATCCATAGTTAACCATGCCATTTCTTGATTGACCTTGTTCAAAGAGTACAATTTTTGTTTTTAATATGGTACAGACTTACCGGTGCTACACTGTTGATGCGGATGTGGTTAGGCGCCCATTCTAAGGAAGCCGTCTTGGTGAGATTTTCCACCGCTGCTCTGGCTGCCGCCGTGTGTCTAAGACAAACAAGATGTTAAAGTGAGGAATGGATACAAGACTCCTAGAAATAGAGTGTCTGGAATTATTGAAAATTTTAAGAATTCATTACTGGTACCCAAAAAATGGAGTTCAAAGAATTTGATGCCCCGCAACGTAACCACAAAGAATTTCTCACTCAAGGGATCTTAGAAACTGATGATGTTGACACACAATTACCATTTTCTGAGTCGAGGTATTTTTCATGCCATTAAGGTTTCAAAATAAGATGACCTATCTGAACACTAATGCTAGCAGTCAGATTTCTCTTAAATAGCAGCAAAGTGATAAACTCCACGCCATTTATGCCTGTTGTTCTACAAATTAGTTTTCATAAGTGACCCCTTAACACCATTTCTATCTAAGGCCCATTCTTGGGTGTTTTTTCTTTCACATGTAAACACTTGTGGTGCATGTTTAGATAACAATAGTTTCCAGTTTCTTTGTATGTGTTAAATTTAAACTTAATTGTTTATTCACAGGGGCCTGGCCATTCAACACCCAATTACTGTATATTCCATTAATTTCAATTGTTCATTATTATATAAATATTTGGAAATCAAATCAGATCAGATTAGATCAGATCAGATCAGCTGCATTTATTGCTCACACTCATCTCCTATGAGCAAGCAGACGCAGAGCCCATCACAAATTCTTTACAAACCCCACTGTGAATTACATTGTAGTCTGAGTATCATCTGTCGTTCAATGGAGCCCGATCCTTAACAATGCTCAATGTATGTGAACTTGCCAATTTTATGCGACCCCATGCACCAGCTAAACAGAGTCAACTTTAGAAATTGTGATGTCAGTTTGATCAGAAATGTGGACTTGGCTGTTGATTGGACAATTTGGCTGCCATGTTTTTGTAATACAACAACGGGTTACTGAATACCCGATATAAGGTGCCAACTGAAAAGTCAGAATCTGGAGGTCGAGACGCAGTCTCGTTTTGCATAATTAATTGTCGAATCTGCTCGCATATCATAGACCCTTGCTGCACAAGGAGATATCCCATAGACTACTGTGGATCTTCCTTGAATGAAAACTCACCCCATGACCGGGAATCCTTTCCACATATCTACAATAATGTTGACAATGACCCCACCATGTTCACCCATCCATTTCTGGTACGCTGCCAAAAAAAAAAAAAAAAATTTCAATTCGATTTCAATTTGCTTCATAAGATATGGGAGCACAAAAAATTATTAACAAAATGACATTCGAAACACATGTATATTCACCGTTGAAGATGATATGTGATAGCTTGCCACTGAAAACACATATCAAAAAATGCTCTAATACTGAAAAAAAAAAAGATTGTTTACTGAAAAACAATCTCCAATGTTTCTGATTAAAGTTTCTCAAGTACAGCCAATTCTACATTAGAATTCCGATGTTTTACACATGTACATGTACATCCCAGCCCAGGTGGACTCCCTTTCCTCCCTACGTTACGTAATGCAATGAAGACTTCGTCCAACCTGGGCTAATGTACATCCCTACAACTGAAATATGGGTAGGGTCTTTTTTATGTTAAAGGGAGTATTTGATGGGAGAGTGTATACTTTTGGCCTCACAATGCCAAATGTCTCTTTCCCTTCACTGAAACTTTGCCGACCAGGATAGAAATCTGTTTCTAAAGATCACCTTCTCTGCAGCACAGAAATGTGCCAGTCAAGTTCGTTTCAATGACAGCGTTCCATCCCTTCAGTTTAATGTCTGCGAGCAGGCTGGGGAATTGGCCACCGCCATTGTTGACCAGATAATCTATCTTTCCGTAGTGTTGCACTGTCGCATCCATCAGTGATTTGACCTGCGTTATGAGGCAGACGGGGTAAATTTTTAATAAAACACGGACATGAATGAAAATGTCCATTGAAGTACTTGCATTTTATTGATCTTAAATGTCACTGACTCTCACAGAGTACTATTTCTCATCACTGGAATTCCAACTTGCTAATTCAAAAAGTGATATGGCTCAGTATTAGGGAGGTTTCACAAGCGAACAGATACGCTTACACTTACGTTTAGCTATCCGTATCCGTTTTTTACTTACGTGTAGCGAGCGAGATATGTGTGTCGTCTGCACGTTTAGCGGATAGTGAGTGGCGTATGACGTCATAACTGATGACGTATCCGTCGCACTAAATGTATCCGTTTGCATGCGAAACCCTCTATTGTGCTTTCCTGAATGACTAAAACAAACTCAAGCTACAAACAGTCTAACCATGAACCCTTTAACGAATACATGTATATATTACAAGTGAAGTAGCATGCTGCATTGCATTCTGGGACAGGTTGGGCTGCAAATTAGGATTCTGGGTAGCACAACTTGCACAAGCTATCCCACACTGCTGCCAAGCATGCATCTTCATTACACATTTTTTACACGTAAAAAAAAAAACCCAGTGTTGATGATTCAATTAATTAAGAGTTTAAGTACAATTTCTGTGCTCAAATTAAAGTAGGAGTTCTGAACTTTAAAAACTGCCTGAAACTGAGACACTGTACTCCTTACAGTACTTTGAACACTGTATTACATTGTGATGTAACATTGTGCAATGCTATCTTGAGCATATTTTCTAACTTACTGACAGTTTAAAATGTTGCCATTGTACTGTTTACACTTAAGCTTTTTGACAAAATCACCACGTCATCTTGTAAGCTTACAAATAACTACCTCATCCTCATTTCGTATGTTACACTTGACTTCTCTGACGTCAGCTGTGGACTTCTTGGGTATCTGTAGTTTCATCTCCTGGGCAGCCTTCTGAAGTTTGTCCAGATTCCTCGAGGCAATCACAACTTTACATCCTGTTTTGTAATTAAACAATTGGAGAACCTGATTTGGAACTAAACAAGACGTGTTCTGTGATCCAGGTATTTCCCCATGAATATTCCCATGTACATGTTTGTAGAAACAAAAGCAACCCAGAACAACCTGTTGTCAGTTCAAAGTTAAACTCCCAGATTTCGGGCGATTGTGTTTTACGGGCCCCTCTTTTGTTTGAGTCCATAAAGTGTCTATTTAGTTGAACCGGTCTTGCATTTTTTCCGTTCTTAAGCAGATTGTACATGTCACATAGCGCCCTCATGCACGTGTATACAACTTACAAGTAGGCCTGAACCGTATACAATTATTATATTATCAACTCACATACGCAAGCAATGCTGCTAGAGTTGAAGTCCCTGCGTGATTGATGTTTTTATTAATTCCAACCCAGATTCCATTAAAATGAGGTAGGCCTATATGTTTAACTTTAGGTAGTGGATATTTTGCCGGAGGTAATGACGGCAAACTAATGATTACTAAAGGTTTGCCGGCGGCAATCCATATCAACAGAGGGCGCTGTACTCTTTAAAATAGGGCTGAATTATAAGATGTATTAAATTCCCACCAAAAGTTGTGTAGCACGTTTGGTGTAATGGTTAAGCAAAGGTTCTAGTAAGCGGGATGACTCGCGTTCGATTCCGACAGCACCACAATTTTTAATTTTTTTTTTCTCATCCCCAAATAAATAAGAATATTCTTCTTTTATTATTTTAACATGTCTCAAACAGTTTTTGCAGAGTATTACATTTTCTTTTTCAGATTTGTGGCTCTGGAGGATTTTTTTTAAAAGGGAAATAAAGTCCGAAATTATAAAATGGTCTGAATCCCATCTTGTGAATACGAGGTAACAACGATAATTTTGGCATGGAGCCAGACTAAAACTTGTCACCGGAAAATGTTTAAGTACAAAAAAAACGTAACTGCGCATGTTCAGTGCATATCCGGCAAACTAACGTTTACTAAAAGTTTGCCGTCTCCGGCAAAATATACACTGCCTTAACTTTAATGGAATCTGGCTTCTGGGTTGGGAAACTAGAGTAGAGGGGAAAAGGACCATTTTTGTAAAACAGATACAGACAAATGACAGAGAGTCCCATTTTTTAGGGCCTCTTACAATCTAGTTTCTACAACATACTTTTATCATGATGGAGGAAGAAAATCCAGCTCTATATGTCGAATTCTTGATGAGCATTTGAGCTGCAGTACTCAAGCTACATTCATTTGTACACGCACAAAATGCAGACGACATGACATCAGCGGTGAACTTTGAATTAACTTCCATAAATTGGGCATACGCACTCCTTATAAACAACTGATCACTTCTTACCTAGAAAAAGAAGCTCTTGACTTATTGCCCTTCCAATCCCAGAGCCACCACCAGTCACAATGGCAACTTTATTACTGAAAAGACCGGAACGAAACACGCTTGAAATCGCCGCCATGTTGCTTCCGGTTTGCTTCCGAGTGCAGTATGAAAACCCCTAGACTTCTGAAGGTATTCAATACGTATGAAATTTGACAATATTGGCACCAGACCAATTTTCGAAAAGGGGCGTATCACATGCAACTCGCAGAAAAGGGGCCGGGCGACAAATAAATACCAAATGGAAACATGGAGGTAAAATTAACCTATGCAGATAACATTATGATTTTTCGCAGATGAGAAAGAGTGATTTCAAGCTAACCACTTAGTGACCGAGATTAATTTGAATCCGCCCCATTAAAAGTTCGCGCCCCCTAGTCGCTCCCCCCCCCCCTTGGAAATTTGGCATCGGAGCACAGCTGTATGAGTTGAAAAGTCCCCTTTTCCGCGATTTTGTGCGTATTTTTCATCAAAACCCTTTCTTTTCGCGAGTTGCTGTTTATTTTAACGTCCGTGGAAAGCAAATAGTGGTAGTTATTGTCTAACATTAACCATGATATAGGTTTTGAACAGCGCCCACATGGAAAGATGGTGTCCAGCTCCCCCTCCCCCCCCCCACCCTGGAAAGCAAATAGCGGTATGATTGTCTTACATTAACCATGATATAGGTTTTGAACAGCGCCCACATGGAAAGATGGTGTCCAGCTCCCCCTCCCCCCCCCCCCCACCCTGGAAAGCAAATAGCGGTATGATTGTCTTACATTAACCATGATATAGGTTTTGAACAACGCCCCCCCCCCCCCAATGGGAAGATGGTGTCCAGCTCCCCCCCCCCCCCCCCCCCCCCCCCCCATTATTTGATTTTACGGAGGTCGGCTGTTCGGTGAAAAAACCTTTCGACCTTTCAGCAGAGATGGAATTTTTTGGCACCCCTCCATTGTAACCTCAAGTCCCCCCCCCCCCCCCCCGCCCCTTAGGATCAGGATGATAACCCTGGCTAGCTATATACGTACGCCGCTGCCTGGTGGGTGATTATCAAGTGACAAAATAATTCCAAAGTTGATTTTATTTCCTGGTACACTAGCGCTATTAGTACTATTATAGGCTAGTATTAGCATTAAACAGCAACGGACTTTTCCACACGTGTATGGCTGTGTCAGTGTGGCTATAGTAGTCCTATAGTTGATGGCCCTCAAAATGCTCTAATACCCGAGCCTAATTTTGGGCCTAATTACTGGCCTGCACCCTTAGGCCAAAAAAAAGTCTCCGGTTTCTGGTAATGAGCTTGCCCAAAAAGTGGTGCGGCGACGCGGCTTTTTTTTTTACCTGATTTTTTTGCTTCAAATGTCAGTTGATGACTGCAAATGGTGCCCGACTAAACTTAGTGCAAATATATGGGAGTCCAGAGAGGCCACATAAAGCTTATTCTCGACCATAACCCAATCTAAAAACACGTTAAAATTGTGCAGCAGCAGGATTCCAGTCAAACCAGTGAGTTGGGCGGTTTTGAGACATCATCTTTCATTGAAAAAAAAACTGTTTTCATTTTGCCGACGCGCATGGCTACGGCGACGCGCGCGCATACCAGAAACCGGAGACTTTTTTTTGGCCTTAGGGAACAAAATCTAAATCAAGTTTGGGAACAAAATTCATGGGGCACTTTTCCTCAATATCTTTTTTCCCCCATGATCTTTGAGCTTGCTTTTTTGTGTATTTCGCTTTATTAGAGATGTATGTACTATACTCAACAAATTCGATTCTTTCTCCTATTATTTCTCAAATAGTATGTTTTAGTCTTTGTTGTCAGGTGGAGACTAAAACATAACACGGACAGGCAGTATATCTTTTAAACTCAAAAAGTTGTATGTTTTCTCAAATCTTGCCACTGCTGATACACACAGTATGGACATCAAAACACATAAGCATTATATTGGTTGTTTTCATCCATTTGCGCGGCAGTTCGACTTTGAACGAAAAAAAATACCGAATGATTATTTTTGGTATAATAAAACCCGAATGAGTCTTCATGGTACATGTACAATAAACTGTATCACATCATGACTTCATGCATGGGTGTTGCGCCGGTTTGGGGAAAATTTATTTCTGTATATTATGCTGTCCTTAAGATTTTGACTTCTTCATAAGTGGAATCGGAAAACCGTATTTTAATGTATATAGGACTGCACGTTCGGCTTCGAAAAATCGTCTGCATATAAAAACTCAAATATTATTATTGTAGGACAACCGTCAACTTTCCAAATAGCTTTGATGTAACTAGTGACGGATAGGTGGGGGTGGCTTTGGAGGGGTCCCCCGCCCCCTCTTCCAGACGCTGAGTAATGTTATGATACATGTATGATACTATCATGTAGTAAAATGGGGCCAAAAAAAATGAATGCTCAAGTTCCTAACTTTATTCTCAAATTTCATGAGAATGCTGCAAATAGCATCGCAGATTTCAAAATTTCTCTGGGGGCATGCCCCGAACCCCCCTAGCTCAACCCGCCCCCCCCCCTTCATAATTGACCCCTCCCCAGCCCCTCCGTTCAAGCTAGATCCGTCCCTGACATGGTAGTGACTGAGAACTATCGCCATGGTACCCAGTTCGTAGCATTGACATCAGTCGGTAAGAAAGCTCTGTCACCCTTCCGCATGTTTCGGCATGAATTGAACCAAGTTGTTTCGGCTAGGTTTTTGCGATGCAAGTGCGCAGGCACAGGACTATTACCGCCACCACCTATGTGCGGCAGTATACCACAGAAATGTGAGAGCTTCAAATCGGGGAAATTCTCAACGACAGAGCCACTGTATCGCCACTCGAAGTACTTGGAGTACTTTTGTGGACTCTTGTCGAGGCTGATCAAGTAATCAGCGAGTTGTTTCACAGTCTTGAAATCACCGGCGTAAATGAATGAGTTCGGTGGAGCCCTTTGGGTGTAATGTCTCTTTGGCGCTCCATACACGACGGGAACGACCTCGTGCATCAAAGTAGTTTCCCAAAACTTTTCGGTGATGTAATCGTCACACTCGGCATTCTCTAAAGCGAGGTAGAATTTGTACTGACTCATGAGATTTTGACATTTTGGGGATAATCTGGGCAGGCAGGTCAGGTTACCACATTTCCCATAGACATCTACTGGGATATGAGTCTGGAGTTCACGAACGAAGTTCATTCTTGGCCAGAAAACCTCCTTGACACAATTGCTTCCCATCCACGCAATAAGTTTACCTTTGCCCTGAGTCCTGCCAGACGGGTTCCTGCGGCGGGCATCCATCGGATTGCCGGCTTGATAGTAACCGTATGGAATGCGCACGTCAGCAGTCGGGGCATACGACCACACCGCGTCAATTGGCAGATTGCCAACATCCGGGACCCACTTACGCATTCGCAATGGCGTCTCTGCTCCGTAGAAAACCAGCAACTGGCTGGGATCGAAATCGTAGTGACCAAAAGTCGACATCTTGACCTTCAGCGAGTAGGGTGACATACCAAATACAATAGCGTCTTTGCCTTTCAGACTGTCCAGTCGGTTGCTGAGAATCAATTGGACGGTGCACTGGTCACATGACACCTTAGTGGACCAATCACCGTCGTCCTGAAGTTGAAGGGCGGCAACAAACGTCTGTAGTTCTGTCCATTGACGAATTATTTTTATTCCGCCGTATATGAGTATCCTTCGATGACACTGGGCCAGGCTTTTCTTTGTCTTGTTCGTAGTTCCATCCCCAAAGTTCGAGAATGTCATTCGAGTTTTAGCGCCCGAGCCAGGCCAAAACTTGCCTTTACTTTTAACTTTTGAATTACTTCTGGTTTCGTTATGGAGCTTCTTTTGTCCGGGATGTCTGCCATCGAGTTCATCGTGAGCAGCTAGGATTTGTTTTGGTATCGAGACGGACTTTTCGGCGTTTTTGTTGTTAACATGAGTTCTCTTTACTGCATGTTTCCCAGGCTGAATCGTAGCCGACTTTACTTCTTTTGCATCACCACCATTTCGCCTTGACGCATTACGCCTTCTTGAAGCCAGGTCGTTCTTGTCGATTCTATTTGTAAATTTCCTTGCGGACAATAAGGTTCCATTTTCATCCTTTCCCAAGCTGTTTTTGCGTCTGGAATTATAGTTTTCTTCGAAACCGGAACCGCGAATTTTCGTTGCGTCGTCACTTTTTACTTTCAAGGTAATGAGCTCAGTGTTGTGTCTCCCGATTTCGTTGACGGAATAACTTTTGTCATCGGCAAATGTATCCACTAGGCTTTCGAGTTTACGGCTGTTTTCTGTTGCACAATGACCGGGTGTCATTATGTACGTCACTTGTATCAAAACGAGCAGAAAAGTGAACATCAGAAGACAGTCGTACATGACGTGGCGGCTTAAACGTACCTGCAGAAAAAAAGGGAAGGGGGAAAGAGTAATACTAATGCAATGAAATCTGATGACATGGATATTTATATCTCACAGTTAATCAAAGTTTGTGGTCAGTAACGTGTAACATAATGTATTATAGGACATGTTGACCGATGTATTCCTCTTTTTGTCCGTCCTCAGTTAATACCGAAGCCAACCCTTTTCGCCTCTAATATACCCAAGGGATCAAACAAAATGTGATTTGTATTTTTAAACTAAGCGAATTCACTTACAGGCAACGCATTTCCCATTCCGCACATCTCGTATATCCAGCTGGTACGTGCAGATGAATTGTCTGGCGTAGCTGACTACCGGACTTTATGATGTACTTCTATATAACAAGACAGATCAGGACGATTTGTGATTTGTAAAACAAACCATTTGTTACACTCAATAACATTAAGATGCCAATTTTAAACCACAAATAGGGGTGGTTTTTTTTACCTACCTTAATAGACGTGAAATGAAAACTGCAAAATCGTTTGTTGCTACAATTGTAGCTGTCTCATCATTCCCGAATGTGAAATATGAAAAAATGAAAATACCAAACGCACATTTTGTTTGCCTTTGAAAAAAAAAATCCACCCCAACAAAATATTGACGAGAAGGATCCACTTATCAACCAACCTACCTTACTCCATACGGCAATGCCTGAGCAACATCCAGGGTATAACTTGACAGTTCCGTAACAAATCGCTCAACTGTACGTTCATTCATTCGATTGTATGGAAGATTTGCTCGTTATTATGGGGATATTATTGAACCATAATCGAACGTGCAGCAGTCATCCTATTCAAATGTAAATTACATGTCATGCAAGATTGCGTAACACTAGAGAGGGAGCAGACCATGTATATTTTTTGTACATGTATTAAGAAGACAGACAGGCCACAAGATGTAGATTCGTGCGGGTTGCTGGATCGTGGAGCGCAGCTTGCCGGTGCCATTATGATGACATTTTAGCTGTTATTCCAAAGGTAAACATGCCAAACTGCCCACGGGTTCACACTTGATTTCATGAAAGGTTAGGCAAGCCTGATGTGTGCTGAAGAGGTAAAGTAAATGCCGTGTTTGTCGAAACGATTATACAATGTTTGTTATGCCAAGATGGCGAGGCTGTTTCCGTGCAACGTGCAATGAGGGGCAAGGGTTAGGCAGGTAAAGTCTCGGCCACTTATTACACCGGCGTTATGCATTCGTATGCATCAGTCGATGACTGCCCAACTGAACCGAAACATTACACTGTAGTAAGTGTATAAGTAGCTTAGGAGAAAACTGTAATTGAATATGGAAACATTCCTCTGACGATTCTTCGGCTTTTTTTAACATGAGTGCAACAAACTTGCTGAGTTTAAGAAAGGTGAGTTTATACATCAAGGCATAATAACGAACGTCATGTATAACTATAAGTGCAGCAAATTACTGGTCTTGCCTCCATGGTGGTTGCAGGGAAAAACTCCTGAAAAATGTTGAAACACCTATAGGCGAGTGCAGGGAAATGAACTCCGAAAATTTGCAACTCTCAAATGGCATGTAATTGGTAGAGAGTTCGGCACTTTTTTCCCCTGTGACAATCTAAATACATTATCTATTTTTGAGGGAAAAAAAGGAATTTGATGAAAATTGTCGAACAAAACTCTGATTAAATATTCAAATTGTGATGACCTCAAATTGGTAGGTCATCATAGGACACCCCATTGCCTGATGGAACACTGAGATGATTGTGTAGTCGGCTTAAGAGTAAAGTTGCCCTGGTTTTTGTTTCCATGTTCTAAGCATTCAAAGCTGTCTTTAAGAGTTATTCAAAATGATTAGAAACTACTAAAAGATTGCTACTTTTTTCACAGGCAGTCCATCAAACAGAAGATCAAAATATGAGTTTTCGGAGACTGTACATCGGGGTTACTGTAAGTATTCATTCGATTTTTAAAATTTAAAAATGACTGTGAACGCTCTTTAAAAAAGTTAATACGGATGTTATTAGACATCGCCATCCTATTATGACATAAACATGTAATATTTTGTAAAGTTCTGTGGCCATATATTGTCAAGATATCTTCATGATTCTATATTTCAAGACATTTCGGTTAAATCAGTATTGGATTTTGCCTTTCATTGCACCGACGTACACTCAGTTCATAAACACCCCGAGTTAGAAAAATCACTCGGGTGAGACTCGAACCAACGACCTCCTGCATGCTTAGTGCATACGTCTCACCACTCGACAACCGAGCTTGTCGGAATCGGTTCATATGTCGGTGTAAGTGGCAAAACTTAATATTGAATTTACATCACCCGACGCAAACTCCATCTCTTTTCCTTTAAATAGTTGTTTGTTTCCCTAAGCAGTTTGAAAGCTTACTGTTATTTTTTTTATTATTTACTCATAGACTCGACGTTTGAGTATACAATGCTTCATCGCTTCAGTATTCGGATCACTGATTGTATTATTTCTGTTTAATGAGTTGTCCTCGGATAAGCTTCACCATCTCCAGCTTCGAGCTTGGAACTTTGCAAGAAACAGACTCAATGTGCAGGACAGGGGTATCAAGGCCAACATGGGGCCTGATGAGAACAAGGCCTGGAATTCGCGCCCTCAAGCGGCCCCTAGCAAACATTTCGCCATCCTGGCCGAAATGGACGTCATCTCCAAGTGGTCCGAACTGGAAGAGATGTACCGATGTTTCTTGGACCCTTCTGATAACTCCACGCGTCCGTGCAATGTATTCTGTCCAGAACACAGTACCACCATAGAATTGATCATCACGAAAAACGTCAAAGATTTCAGTGGTACAGATGCAGCAATCTTCGGCCTCTCGCCTTTTACTCTACTGAAGAGCGTGACAAAACTAATGAAGTATTCCATTCAGATTCCCCCTACCCAGACCGCAGTATTGTACAGCATGGAGTCGCCTCTCCGAGTGCATAAATGGATCCACAGGGTAGGCGATTTGAAGTACCACGTCGATTTGACGTACCTCCCTTCCGCCGATATCAGTGTCCCTTACGCTTATTACCAACCAGGGTCGTTTGAGAATACCTTTGAGAGGAAGGCTAACTACGCAGAGGGTAAGACGGGTTTGATCGCGTGGATGGGAAGCAACTGCGCCAAGGAAGTCTTCTGGCCCCGGATGGAGTTCATTGAAGAGCTAGGGCGCCACCTACCGCTCGATACCTACGGGAAGTGTGGCAAGCTCACCTGCCTACCGCGTCTGTCCACCAAGTGCGTCAATCTGATTGGTACGTACAAATTCTACCTCGCCCTGGAAAACTCCGAATGTCGCGACTACATCACGGAGAAGTTCTGGGTCTCCTGTCTCCTAAATGGCGTCGTGCCCGTAGTTTACGGCGCTCCGAAGGAGGACTTTGAAAGACTTGCTCCACCCAACTCCTACATCCACGTCAGTGATTTTAAGAGCGTCGAGGAACTCGCCACGTACATTCTTAAAGTTGACCAATCAGATGAGCTGTACAATAAGTTTTTCGAGTGGCGCAATCACGGGTCCGTCCTAGTCAAATATCCCAAAATGCAGCCGTCTTATTTTTGTAGGATACTGCCTTTTCTTCAGGGCAGTAGAGGCATGTCTGGGGCCAAACAAATCAGGAACTCCAAGTGGTTCAATTCTTGTCGAGGGAACATCACAAGACGGTTTAATATATCCCAAGTCCCAACTTTGAAAGACTGGAAACCGTGGAAACTGGGCGTGAACGATTACAAAGATGGCTTTTGATTGGTCGTGTCCACCAAAACTTTTTTTGAAGCTAGCTATATAGGCTCGGTTTTATCACGAATATTGCAAATCATTAATTAAAAAAACATCGGTCAGAATTTAAGGGTTTGCCTTATAACTTGGTCAGAACATTTGAAATATCCTGATGATTTGAGTTAATTTTGTTCACACTGTAAAAACCACCTATATAGTTAGACTTGACTATAGAACACAGTCAAACTTGCAGCCAGCTGACTACCGGGGTGACCGTAAGGTCATGGCCAATTTCTGCTAAATGCACTTCAAAAATCTGTCAGATTTACCAAAAATCTGTCAGATTTACCAAAAATCTGTCAGATTTACCAAAAATCGGCCAAATTCCCCAGAATTACTCGAAAGCACTATAAACACTTAAAATCACATGCAGATGTTGTAGTATTGCCTTAGTTAAGGTTCAAATTACATTATAAATAATTTAAAGTCCATAAAGATGTTATGAAATTGCATAAATTTCAGGAAACACGCGGTTGCGTCACAAAGTCCGATTTCCAGTGAACCTCAGCACCTAGACCAGCCAACATGTCCCATTATGCAAGGGTTTGTTTGAAAAGATTGAAGCTTAATTTTCATAACAAAAATGTACCCTTTTTTCAAAGTTGCTATGTTTTTCTATCAAATAGCCATTTTTGCAGAATTCTGCCAGAGATCTGCCAAAAAAATTCCATTCTGTCAAATTTTCTGTCAAACTCGGTTTTTTAACAAAAAATCTGTCAAAGTTAGCCGAAAATCGGCTAAAACGGTCACCATGCTGACCACGGCTAGAGTCAGCAGTGGGTGCAAATTTATTTGTCCATAGTCAGATTTAACTAGACTGTTCTCAGAGTGTACCTTTTCACTTAATACCGAGGCATGTATTATGCTCAACGAGGCACGTATATACGCTGCGGTCAATCCTATATAATGTTAAGGTCCAGGAATATCTTTGAGTAAAACTTTCCAGAAATTCTGTATTGTGTTTCTGCGTAGGATTGATACACGCAGCAAATCTTTCAAGTTATGAATGGTATGAAACAATATTATAAGCAATGAACTGAGTGTTTACAATTGTCAAAATTGCTGATTTGAGTTTTGAAAATGGATACGCCCGTCTCCATAAAAAATACTATGGCTTCTTTCTTTCCGACTGTTTCCGAGTAATTACGTATCTCGATCTCACACAACCAAAGTTGTTCGACAAAATTGAAATCAGATTTTATTTAGGCACTTCTTTTGGGGAACTGTGTTCATTTTGTATGAGAGTCCAATATGTTTGGTTGTCTTTGAGGACACTCTTCAAACTTCCTTGACGAACATCCACAAACTGTTCGTGAAAACAAGTATTAGTTTCATATAAAATATCCCATGGGACTGAAAGGGCTCAATTGAATCTACCAAAGGCGGGAAAAGTATAGATATTGTGTAACCGTTTGTCATCACTTTATGTCACAGATACTCAAGGGATCACGACGGTTCTGTTTAGGGGGAATGCAGACGCATGCGCCCGTAAGATAAATCTCGAACTCTTGCCGGATGTGGTGAAAAAGGAGACTTTCTGGGCTGGCAAGCACGCAAGGTTGTGACATGATCTCCTTGTTGACACATTGTTGTGAGCGATGCCAGTCCGACCAATCCTGTTTGCTTTATTGCAATTTTGATTCTGGTGATTTCACTTTTACTTGAAATGGTTCTGAGGTGTACGCGAAACCGTGACTGGAGTTGAGACAGCATTTGTGTGCAGCAAATTCAACAAACTTTCTGCTGGTTTGTTTTCGTGTGGGCAGTGTTCCACATCATGTTCGTTTGCTGCTGTAATTTTGAATAAATCTTGGCCAAATTTTTGTGTCAGAAATCGGCGCGTATTTTAGGCCTGCGACAATAAGGTAACGCACATGTCAGGTCACATTGTGTTGCCTTTACCGATCAACAGAATTATGATTAGATATGTCCTTATAGCATGTTAGCTGAAAATGAGCCTGAAACATGGGCGTCGCCAGGATTTTTTCTAGAGGGGGGCAAAACATATTTTTGCCAAAAAATGCCTGTATTTCTTAACACATTCTCGATTTATCAGTTGTAGAGCCTGGGGCAGGGACATTTTGCCCCCCCCCACCATTAAATTTACACCACTATGACTTCGCACCTCTTTTATTTTTTTTTATTTTTTTTTATTCTTCCTTCTTTTTTTGCTTTTCCAGGGGGGGGGGCAAGTGCCCCCCCTCGCCCCCCCCCCCCCCCCTCGCGATGCCCATGGCCTGAAACATTATTTGTTATTGTTAAAAGTTGTTTGCATTGGCCTCATCAGGAGATTATTAAAATAAACATGTTTTTAATAGGATGATTAAAGCGAGATGGACAGTGTTTTTTTATTAAATCTGTTTGTCAAGGATATGAAATTGGATAGGAGTACAAAACACCGAAGCTGGTCATTCAATGCACAACATTTCTACGGATTTCCCCTGAAAATTAATAATTTCCTGGACAACCGACAGAAGCACGCACAACAACACCGGGTAAATGAACTGCTGGATGGAGTTGGGACATAATCGATGGGCGGAGCCTAGCCGGACAGGGAGGCGTATAATCAACGTCTACACGAATTATTGACGAGTCGGCCATCTTGACAAGCCTGCCATCGAAAGCGAGGCGACCCCGCCAAAAATGTTTTAAAATGAGGTGCTTATAGCATTGAAGATGACTCAAGGCATTCATATTACCTTATTGTGCTCTGATTAATAATTATTCAAAATTATGGATGAAAAGTCTTCTCCCCCACCCCACATTATATATAACCCCCCCCCCCCCCCCAAAAAAAAAAAAATCAAGAAGGTCATCAACTTAAAGATTTGCGTGACAAGCACTGCAATAAATAGTTAAACAACTTTCCATCACGGCCTGTTTAATAAGTATAATGATTCGTACGAGGATCTAAAATGGCGTGGATATTGCTCCATAACAAATTGACTGACGCTCGTCACCCGTTCAAACAATCGTTTTGTGTAATCAATTACAATTACTTTTTAAAACAATACTTTTGTTCAATAAGCGCGCGGATAATACACACTCCCAAAAAAATATGAAGATATATTGGACGACAAAAGAACCTTATCCAAATGAGAAGACGGATTGATTTTTGTCCTCAAGTTTGCAGAAATTGTACCCTACTTTGGAAATAAATACAATTGCTGTCTTAAATTGTCAAGTGCATCAGTGCTTTTCACTACTTTCTTTTTATTTATTTTGTTAAACAAAAAGCGATGTCCTGGCAACAAGATGGGTACAGCTCCATTGATCTATTTAAAGAGCGAAAACTGGCGCAACACAGTGTCTAGTGGAAGCACCCTGGGTAGCCGGCAGTCTCAAATTAAGGTATAAGTATGACCAGCCAGACTTAAATTCCTGTAATTATGCTGCCAGGTCCCGTCTGTAAAATATTTCTTTGTCGATGTCTTATATTTTTAGCATAAACAGCGATGCGAAAGTTGTCGAAGCATTGCGAGCGCCCTCTTGTGTTTTCCGTTGAATAGAGCATACAGAGTTGCGTAACAATTTGCATATGACATGCAGTGCGAAAAAGCCTTTTATTCCGTGCAGTGTCTCAAAAGCATAGGGCTTCGGACGCACATTCCGTGAATTTTTCGCTAGTTTTCTTGGAGAGTAAGCAAGCATGGGTAGGTCACTTGACTGCTTGTCTTTGCTGCTGCCAGCCACACCTTATTGCGAGCCAGCTTGTCTATATTTTGCTGTGTTTCTCACGTGGTTTTGCCATGGTTAGCACGCCGCATGTGCATACACATATCATGTACATGCATATCGTGTAGTTTGCCCAAACATCCCGAGGCATAGGTACACAGGCCGCAACTGCTCCGGTAAGTGTTTCAACTTCGTAATTTTTGATGTTATCTTAAATAGCACTTTACGACACATTTTTATGCCATGAATACTCGAGGTTGGAAGCCAAGTCTGTATGAAACATTTTTATGCCATAAAATAAATCTCCCAGGTTTAAAGCCAAGTCTGTATGAAGATTGTTGTGCATAAGATGACTTGAATTTTCGATACCGAATTTCCTTGTAATATTGACTGTATACTTGCACATACTTCGATCCTAAATATGTTGAATTATAGGGTCAATGCACTTTATTGAACTCAAATTTGGATAGCGTGGATGGAAAGAGAACTTAGAGAATGTTTTAGCCTGAAATAAAACCATGAGACATATAGATGGATGTACGAATACAGAATATTGAATACTCTTTTTATGAGCCTTACTGTTTAAACAAACAAATGTTAAGAAATAGATGTACTGTATAAAATGCATTGGAAATTCATCAATATAGAATAACTACGGATGTGTACACATGTACTGTGGAGATGAAACTTTTTGATGGCACTGATGATTATTTAATATTCCTTCATCGAAACATTTATTAGTATTTATGAGATTACTTAATATGTACAGTAATTTTATTACAGCTACTGCTTGTGGTTCTGTGGTTCCTGAGTGGTCACAAATAGAGAAGCCTTCTCGAGTAGACCAGTGTATCCCTTATCCAGCATCCATAATATTTGGGTACGTGTGTAAAACATTATTGCTTGAAATGTGCCTAAGAAATTGGAGATTTAGAGATTAATGTGTTGTAAAATTATTGCATAGCAAGTGCTTATGGAGAATATTTCTCCTTGATTAAATTTTTATGCCTTTAATATTTTTATGCCTCTCTAAGAAATGTACTTGTAAATTCGCAGCAAAAACATTTCTATGGAACAAATCAATGGAAATTGAGGTTTATAGAACCAGTAAAGCAATTTCTCGAGATAAAAGATAACCAAGGATAAGGAGAGATGGTTATTTCAAATAATTAGATAATTGAATATTGGATTCATAGTCATTGTATATTTGTAAATAAATTAATTTCTATTCTTCTGTTTTCTGTTATTACAGACTGCTGAAGAATGACTGTCGTTTTTTTGTAATAAAATTTTGATCAATTTATAGTGGAATATATACCCAGTGTCACTTTCAAATTTTTCTGCGTAACCTTTCCAGCTCGGTTACAAAAATGGCGTAGTCGGCAGGATGTCATAAAAGACATCCTTATTTGTGACACATTTGATCAAATATAAACGACAGTCATTATTATTACCATCATCATCATCATCATCATTATCTTCGATGACAACCTTCTTGAGAGAAGCGTCTTTCATCAGAAGGGTGGTTTGCTGCAGCAGTGCGTTTACATCATCTAGTCTCCGGACAGACAGCTGCCCAGATGTTCGTCTGAAGTGAGAGTATTTTCCATGTAGCTACACACATCTTCTGGGAGAGCCTTCTTAGCTTCACATATCTTCCCCACAGTTCGGCACCCAGTCGTTGAGACAGCTTGGAGAGACATTCTTCACCATCACCGGTTTTTCAGCCGAGCGGCCGTGGAGTGTGCTGCTAGTATTCAGCTACGGAACTCTTTCACTGATGGTGAACTGTAAACATATTCACTGGGAACAGTGTCGTGCAGTCAAGATTTTTAACATTTTAATATTGCATATTCATTTGTATTTTAACTTGTAGCCATTGAGCATGTCGTTTTGACAATGGAAGTTTTGCATGTTAGAAACAGCTTTATCACATACATAGAACAGATTGATTGTTTGATTGGTCCGATTGAAGATCAGCTATTTTCGTAAAATCAAGTTTGCCTTGGAGTCGACGTTATAGATATTTCACATTTGAGTATATACTCGTATATTGTGTGAATATTTTAGTAACACCGTGGTAGTTTATTTCTTTTTATATCTGCAGGTTTAAGCTTTCCAGGGACAGTTCTGGCTTCTGTACCTCATGCTCTGCTCCCTGCCCTGCTATCTTCAATGCAGTTACTACCCGCTTGTTGCTCAGTCTCTCGTATCCACGAACCGCTGTAGCATATCGTATCTGTTTCTTTACCGACGCTGCGTAGAATGCGTGTTAAGGTGATGCATGCTAATTGCTTGCTCATGCTGCCTGTACTTGTATTTGTCCGTGTATTGATTTTTTTCACATTACTAGTTGTAGTCTCTGGTTGAAACATATTGAATTCATAGTCGCAGAAAGTAGAGTATTTGCTCTAGATTTGAGACTTTTGGAGGAATGACACCTGTACATTTAAAACCCAGGATAGATCTAATGCAGACCCTGTATGTCATTCTTAAACTGTACAGTCCTTTTATCCGTATTGATAGTAGCCAGTATTTGGTAAATTTTATTCTCTTCATGTCCTAATTTCGTTTTAACCACTATATTTTTGGGATTAGCTAACCCAACGTGGATAAATAAACATGTTTAGGTTGGGAATGAAAGAGGCCCTGTAAGTATATGTTGAGGATTTTCTTTTTAAAATACATGTAGGTGTTAGCCAGATGCTTGGATTTTTTTATAGTGAAGGATAGTGTAGTATATGATCATCTTGAGAAATTAGGTTTCTTGGACAAATTGAGATAAATGTAATCTCTATTTCTCCAGCGACATGCTAGAGATGGACCATATTTTTACCATTTTCTCTATCCCATCATTCCACACTATCTTGCCATTTTAATTAATACTGATATTATGGATGTTTTTTAGGGAATGTTTTATTTTGAGAAACAGATTGCCAGATTTTCATTTAGTTAGGGCTTTCGTATGTCTGATCATTGGCCAAATTGGGAGTTTTAGATTTAAGGTCCATTGAGGTCATCTCATTTCACTAGTCATATACTAGTGGTGGACATTCTTTTATCGTGCTCTCGACCATGTGTACATATTATCATAGTCCAACTTCATTCTGAAGAACTGGTGGAGGATTTTTTTAAAGTAAACATTTCCTGTCCACTGTCTCACTCAGTCTAGAGCTGCCAAGATATATTTTTTGTCTTTTGAGAATATTTTTCATTACACAATTTTTAATCCCGGATGATTATGACCAGCCAGACTTAAATTCCTGTAATTATGCTGCCAGGTCCCGTCTGTAAAATATTTCTTTGTCGATGTCTTATATTTTTAGCATAAACAGCGATGCGAAAGTTGTCGAAGCATTGCGAGCGCCCTCTTGTGTTTTCCGTTGAATAGAGCATACAGAGTTGCGTAACAATTTGCATATGACATGCAGTGCGAAAAAGCCTTTTATTCCGTGCAGTGTCTCAAAAGCATAGGGCTTCGGACGCACATTCCGTGAATTTTTCGCTAGTTTTCTTGGAGAGTAAGCAAGCATGGGTAGGTCACTTGACTGCTTGTCTTTGCTGCTGCCAGCCACACCTTATTGCGAGCCAGCTTGTCTATATTTTGCTGTGTTTCTCACGTGGTTTTGCCATGGTTAGCACGCCGCATGTGCATACACATATCATGTACATGCATATCGTGTAGTTTGCCCAAACATCCCGAGGCATAGGTACACAGGCCGCAACTGCTCCGGTAAGTGTTTCAACTTCGTAATTTTTGATGTTATCTTAAATAGCACTTTACGACACATTTTTATGCCATGAATACTCGAGGTTGGAAGCCAAGTCTGTATGAAACATTTTTATGCCATAAAATAAATCTCCCAGGTTTAAAGCCAAGTCTGTATGAAGATTGTTGTGCATAAGATGACTTGAATTTTCGATACCGAATTTCCTTGTAATATTGACTGTATACTTGCACATACTTCGATCCTAAATATGTTGAATTATAGGGTCAATGCACTTTATTGAACTCAAATTTGGATAGCGTGGATGGAAAGAGAACTTAGAGAATGTTTTAGCCTGAAATAAAACCATGAGACATATAGATGGATGTACGAATACAGAATATTGAATACTCTTTTTATGAGCCTTACTGTTTAAACAAACAAATGTTAAGAAATAGATGTACTGTATAAAATGCATTGGAAATTCATCAATATAGAATAACTACGGATGTGTACACATGTACTGTGGAGATGAAACTTTTTGATGGCACTGATGATTATTTAATATTCCTTCATCGAAACATTTATTAGTATTTATGAGATTACTTAATATGTACAGTAATTTTATTACAGCTACTGCTTGTGGTTCTGTGGTTCCTGAGTGGTCACAAATAGAGAAGCCTTCTCGAGTAGACCAGTGTATCCCTTATCCAGCATCCATAATATTTGGGTACGTGTGTAAAACATTATTGCTTGAAATGTGCCTAAGAAATTGGAGATTTAGAGATTAATGTGTTGTAAAATTATTGCATAGCAAGTGCTTATGGAGAATATTTCTCCTTGATTAAATTTTTATGCCTTTAATATTTTTATGCCTCTCTAAGAAATGTACTTGTAAATTCGCAGCAAAAACATTTCTATGGAACAAATCAATGGAAATTGAGGTTTATAGAACCAGTAAAGCAATTTCTCGAGATAAAAGATAACCAAGGATAAGGAGAGATGGTTATTTCAAATAATTAGATAATTGAATATTGGATTCATAGTCATTGTATATTTGTAAATAAATTAATTTCTATTCTTCTGTTTTCTGTTATTACAGACTGCTGAAGAATGACTGTCGTTTTTTTGTAATAAAATTTTGATCAATTTATAGTGGAATATATACCCAGTGTCACTTTCAAATTTTTCTGCGTAACCTTTCCAGCTCGGTTACATAAGTTTATTATTTGTAGTCGCCAAGGTGACACAATATAGTAATACTACATAGCAATGACATTTTACCAGTTTCAGAGAATCGGATTTCATAACTGCACCTTAAAATACAGCTCTCGTAACTACGGAAACCGCAGATAATTATAGCAGTCGGGTTATACATGTACAACCTTTCCTCAAAAAGTTGGTAAGTTCAAAAAAAGGGGAAATAGTTCAAAATTTTGGCTTTAAAAGAGAACTTTAACTAACTCCTATCCTCAAACTAGTGGCGTGTGCAGCAGGGATAGAAGGTCAGGAAGGGTACTCCATGTCTTTATCTTGTCTTACAGTGACAGCGCTCCGACACAACCTGTACTAGCCCCCATCCCCCACTTATTCCCCCACCCCCTGTACACATGTAAGTACGGACGACGGGATGGCCACTGGCCACTATTTCAGAAATGTTCCCCAGTTTGGCCGTCACGCTGACCCGTTATACATGTATCTGGACACGCACTTTTCAAAACACCTCTGACTTAATATGGACATGCACGCCACAGGCTTACGTGTATGTCCGGATGTTGATGCATTCTGTAAAGCAGCAGTATAGTCTTGGATACAGGCCAGGAGCCTTTTTGAACAATTATCAGCGATTTCGTTGTTATAACTGCCGTTCTGTTGCCAAGTTTTTAGCGCACCAGTCACCCCACCCCTCTTCGAAGTACAAAACAAGCAAACAAGACCCCCCCCCCCACAACAAGCAAACAAGACACACTCCCTCCCCAACAAACAAAAAACCAACAGAACAACAATACGATCAGTATGTCTTCCGCAACAAAATTTATTTAACAGAAGAAAAACAATTCATGATTTATTCATTCATTTATTTTTAATTCACCCCTTAAACCCCCTTCGTCCGTATCCATCTCTCCCCTCCTCCCCTGGAATTGCCTCATTCTCCTTATTGTTTCACAACCTTGGCTACTTATGTGTCTATTATATGAAGTCCGTTCTTGTGAAATTACAACAAAGACCAGTTCCTTTAAAGGAAGTTGGACACGGTGCAACAATGGTCATCTGAAATGCGAGCAACCCTCGCACTCGATGACAAAAGGATGTTCTGACTACTCCAATTTCTCTCTTTCATCCTTGTTGTTTCCTGAAGTTTACGTGAGGCTATACCATTATAAACTCCCTGCCCTGTCATCAATATTTTTCTTTTTATCAAATCCAAAGGAGAGCCTCGCGGAAGAACAACGAAGTCATAAGGGATATTTTCATTTGTAGAAAATCGTTGAGTTTTTCAGTTGGTTTTGTTCTAGTTTTGTTTTTATTATCGTGGAGGACCAAATGTTTCGCTCAGCTCTCGCGTTGTGTGCGATTTTGTGGATTTCCCTGCAAACGGAAGCGCTATTTTTGCACCAAGAAAACGTCTGCAATGTGACAGTTCAGTGAGTATCAATTTTCTTTGCATCATCGTCATCGTCATCGTCATTAAAATGTGTAAAGAGTCTGCATTTCCGTATCCCATCAATTTATTTAACTAATATTCTTTACCTCCTTAAGGCCTTGTTAGTTATTTTTTTTAAATTAGGTTTATGCTTTAAAACAATATTCACCGATTTTTTTTTTAGTAAACTCGTTATGAATGTTGTGGTTTCCGTGCGAATCGGCTCAACATATTTTGTTTTACTGTGTATCATTCTTATATTAAACGAAACATTTTTCCCCAATGTTAATCAAATTTTACGAGTTTTATCCTGTTCCATGATTTTTTAAAGTTAACTTTGAAAATGATTGTATTGTATTGAACAAACTAAAACAATTGTGAAGTGTCACTCTGCTGCCGACCATTATCACGTTGCGACCATTTTGGTTTTTCCCGTTCAAATCAACGTAATCAAAGCGAGGCTGGAAGGAAAAACAGTCTGGTTCCTTTTTGCACAAAAAAATTATCATTTAGTACTGTTATTGGATACTGGGAACATGACTGAAATGGTGGCAGCATGATAAAGGTTTATTTTACCCATACGATGTTTCATTTTTCAACTCCATCCAAGCAAAGCTGAACTCATTATGTACCTCCATATACCCTTCCCATGATCTCCAAATTATGACGATAATTATAACAATGTTAGACGTTATTTATCAAAGGAATGTATTGCCTATTGCAGATACAATCAGACGTATAATGTTAGTCGTCAGATTGCACAATACGAGACGCACACGACCACGTGTTATTGGTGGCAATGTCAGCAAATCAGGTGAGACGAAATGGCGGCACTAGGGATCGAACCAACCTCACAAAATGACTGCAGTCCTGCGGCTTCAGAAACAAAACTCACTGAACATTATTGAAGCAGTGAACTATTTTCCTTCTTTTCTCTGAGGCGTGTGTGATCATTTGCTTTTCATGTGCAAGTATTTTGTTAGTTTCCAATAATAAAACACGGTTAACACCACTTAAAATCCAGAGTAGAACGTTAAAAAAAAACTAACCTGTTGAAGTTTAAGCTCAGTGGATACTACAGTTTTAAAATGACAGCAAGCTATACGGAATATTTTAACGGGGTGGTTATAGTACCAATACGATCTTTAATCCAAGTAAGTTTTTTTTATAATAATTCGGTATGTTACTTTGGGGATAAATGCGAATGATATACGAATTTAAATCACATTTCTTCGAATAATTTCCTCTGTATTTTGACGTGCCAATTCTTCCATCCTCACGCACAGGGCGGTGTATCGTGTGCAGTACGCAACCAGTTTTCGCCTTGTCACATCATACAGTCTGGAGTGCTGTGATGGTTGGTTGTATACGGAGGAAAACGATCACTGCAATATCCGTAAGTTGGCCCTACTTTTGGGCAATTTTCTTAATTGAGCTTTTCTTGGGATATAGATAATCTATGGTGATGCTAAGAGTTGTTTAGGCCTACTTGTGTACGGTTTTTTCTTAGATACTTGTAACTGTTCTCATAGTAAACGAATAGACCTACAGGGCCTATATTATACACCTCAAGAACTTGTTTTCGTCCGTGACTAACCGCCCTGTTAAGTATGTGCTGTTGAAGGTTTTTTTATTGAAAGCCCTAATGTTTAAAGAGCAGGACTTACGCACTTCAACCAAGTGGTCATAAGTCGAGTTGACTTTTATTTGTTTGAAAGTTGACTTTTTCATCTCAAGGAGATGACGAGAGCCTCTTTGAAACAGTCTTATGGCTGGTTTTTCTCGGGTACCAGGAAAGTTGCCTTGCTGTAGCAATACGAACGGTTTCGGAGGTCCAAAATTATTGAGCATTATGGTGTATCTCTCTGTGCTCTTGTCTTGAACTGGAAAGAACAACCTTGAAATCGAACCAATAATATTGTCGTTCATGATGATCATGTTACAATGATTTTATAATGATCATAACGTTACAGTGTTCACGGTGTTTCACCTTCAAACTGAGACCATCGTCGGAGTAGAGGGTCATATTTTGTCCTCAAAAATAATGACATTTGCATCCCTGTGGCTGACAATTAATTGCACGAGACAGATAATCGAAACATGACTCTCACAACGCGAAGCTTTTAGGGCCTCCACATCAGAAAAAACGCAGCGTGCGATTTGGGAATCAAAATTCGTTGAATTCTGAGTTACAGATTTGAAGTTGTTTCACCTTTCGTATTGAGACCTTGGTCGAAATCGAGGACATTATTAATGTGACCTGAAAACGATGACATTGCATCCATGCGGCTGCAAAATAATCGCGCAGGACAAAGGCAAGATACGTGTCTTTCATATTACGCCGGTCGGAACTTGTATTGTAAGACTGCAGACTGCGCAGACAGTGCGCGGAACTAGGTTCAACTTTGCCAATCGTCTGCGAGATAGTTTGCGTCTGTCTGGGTTGTCACTGTCAGTGACATTTCCGGATGAAAAAGTTTCCATATGTCTGCGTCACAGTTTGGGTCCTGTTTGCTTTTTTGTTTGTTTATGTCACTATGGAAACTTGACTTACGAAAGACGCAGCTTGCGATTTTAGAATCACAATTCTTTAAATTTCGACTGGACTCCGGGAGCCGAAGTTTCAGCGAGCGCGCGATGGTGAGGTTTATCCCTGGTGCTCTGCCCACGGCAGGCAGGCCAGTCACGGTGATTGCCGTGGTCCTACTGACCGGCTTGATGTTTGTTACGACGGTGCAATCCCTCAACCCGAATGGAGCCCACGTGTGCACTGACAACGTCTAGTAAGTGAACTCACTGAAATCATTGACACAATAATTCTTGTTATTAATAATACAAAATTATTTTTTTTTTTACATAATCCTGAAAAGCTTGCCAATAGACCGTTTGCGTTGTGGTAGAGTCAGAGGGCAGTGGCTTCGTATAGCGTAGGTAACCTTTTATAGATTAATTTCATTGTTACAATTATTTAAACAACAAATAACCCTCTCTGGGCCACTAGCAACGCATAAGGTCTATACATCATGAATAAATGCTCAACATGATCAGGATTTTAATTGCAGCCTTTCGAAATACTGTGCCATTTGTCCAGACTCATACATGTATTGGGGGGGGGGAGGGGACTGGCCACGCCCTCCGAATTCTGAAATGCGTATTTCAGAACTTGTGAATCAGTCCCTTTGTCTTGTTATTTCTAGAAAAAGTTGAAAACTGAATATCGGCAAAGTGTGTCTTTTGTTTTGCTGGTAAGGGAGAAAGATTCAGCCAGTAGTCCTCTGCGTCTCACTGCATTACTCACCGA